GGGGTCTGTTGGAGTAAAAATGAATGGTTGTGAGAGTGACTTTTTCCTAGCTGGTAAAGGTCTTAGGCAAGGTGGCTCTATTTCACCTCTTCTTTTTATCCTGGTAGTTGATGTACTCACCAAAATGCTGAGCAAGGTTGCTGATCATAGCTTGATTGCTGGTCTTTGCCCTGAGGTTTGCCCTGGTGGGATCATATGCCTTCAATATGTAGATGACACCATCCTCTTCCTAGATAATGACATTAATCATGCTAACAACCTAAAAACTGTTTTGACTTGCTTTGAGCAAGTCTCAGGCATGAGAATTAACTACTCCAAACGTGAGCTTATTCCCATCAATATGGATGACCAGGAACTGGCTAGCTTTCTTAACATTTTAGTTTGCAGTAGTGGTAGCTTTCCCATTAAGTATTTAGGCATCCCTCTCCATTATGATAAGCTTAGGAGAGAGGACATTCAGCCCCTCTTAGATAAAATCATTAAGAGGATTGTAGGATGGAGAGGAGAACTCTTGTCTTATAGAGGTAGGTTGATCCTCATTCAAGCCTACCTTGCTAGCATCCCTGTGTACCTCCTTTCCTTCTTAAAATCCCCTAAATGGGCTATTAGTCTCATCAACTCTCAGATGTCCCATTGCCTGCGGAATGATTTTGAGGGGCACAGAAAGATCCACCTAGCTAACTAGGGGCTAGTCTCCATGAAAAAGGAGTTTGGAGGTCTGGGCATTCCCAACCTTCAAGAAATTAACATTTGTTTGTTAGGATCATGGATTAAAAGGTATTATGAAGCAGGCCACAAACCCTGGAAGATGCTTATTGAGAACAAATACTTGGCCAATAAAACTAACATCTTTGCTCCCTCCTCCAGCCAAAAAACCTCTAGATTCTGGAAAGGGATGAAGTCTGTTATCCATGCTATGAAATTTGGTTACAGATGGATCATTGGGAATGGGTGCAAAACTAGGTTCTGGGAAGATACATGGTTTGGCACCTCGCCACTAGCTACCCAATTTTGTCCTATATATTCTCTCTGTAATGAACAAAGCAAATGTGTAAATGAGATCTGGGATGGGAAATGCCTCAAACTTTCTTTCAGGATAATTTTTATTGACAGACTTATGGAACAATGGTTCCAGCTGGGGGAGATTGCTAAAAGTATTGTCTTCTCTGATGAGACAAATTCTTTGATCTGGCAATTAGAAAATAAAGGACAATACTCTACTAGCTCTCTATACCATGTTATTAATTTTAGGGGGTTCAGCCAGTTTTCATCCCAGCAGTTTGGAAATTGAGAGTTCCCCCAAAAATTCATGTTTTTCTCTGGTTCCTCTCCAACAAAAAACTAATGACCAGAGATAACCTTAGGAAAAGGCATATCATCAAACCCCTTGAATGTGTCTTTTGTTTGGAACATGAATCGTGCTCCCACCTTTTCTTTGATTGCATTGTTGCCAAGCACCTTTGGGCCCCTGTTGTTGATTACTTCAACACTCAAATTGGCTCTTCTTTTGAATCTGTAGCTAGATTCTGGGTTGCTAACAAAAAATGCTCTGTTTTGAACATTGTTAGCTCAGTTGTTCTGTGATGTCTCTGGAATATAGAAATGCTATGATTTTTGATAACACCACTTGGATTTCTGTTCCTCGGGTCTTGAGATTGATCTTGAACACAGTGAGGAACTGGGCAATCCTCTCCTCGGGATCAGACAAGGAAAAGCTGATGACCTTTGTGGGGTTCCTCGCAAAGTCCCTTCAGAAACCTTTGGAGATCACAACTGGCTGAAGAAGCCTCGCTCTGCTCTGGGGCTGGACCCCTCAGAAAAGCTAAAGATCTCAGAAGATGAAGAAGGGCTCCTATCGCCGAAGAAGAGAGGCATCTATAATGTTGTCCCTTCCAGTCCGGTGTCCCCTCTTATCGCCTGCTGGTCGCCGCAAGCGAATGATGTCCCACATCTGAAGACAATGAAGGCAACACTGGATTCTCCCTTTGTCCGTTGAAAAACTTGTCTCTTTGGCTCCTAAATGAGTCTTGGCCTGCTGGAAGCCTTGTAATAGTGCTACTCTGGTTAGTTCTTTTTCTGCTTTTCTTTGAACTACTCTCTTGGAGCTTTTGTCACAGACCTGTTTGTGTGGTTTCATTTTGAGTAATGGAATCGGGGAGGTGCTCCCTGTTCTTCTAAAAATAAACATCAAATTTGCATAGTTGTTGTCAAAGGAAGAGAATGACCTAGTCATACACACCATATTGTGAGACCCCATCAATGAGATGACACGTGGCTTCACAAATCTCAAACCAGCCAAAGGACGCATCATCGTCTCCCTCCTACCTGCTCGGCTATTCAGTTTGTGATGTCCTGAAGGCCAGCACCGACGCGCTCTCCCCAGCTATAGTGACAAGAGAGCACTGCAGGAGGGTACCATGGTGGAGCAGCTCAACTTGTGGGCTCGGGGAAGAAGCAGCAACAACAACTTTAGAGTGCACGCGAGCGCTAGCGGTGACAGTTGGCGCTGTACAAGACCATCTCCGGCAACCTCGCAAGTCGCAACCTCACGAAACGAAACAGAGGAACCTCGTTTTGGGAGAGAAACTTCAGCCTGTCGCCCATCTCCGCCGAGCTCTGTGGGACGTTGACCCTCATAAGCCTACCGGACTTGGTGTAGAAGAAAGCCCACCGGCCACATCGTCTCACTATGCCGGCGCCCGGCAGAATCCCGCCGTTGTGCCCAACAGATAAAAATGAGGAATTCTAATCGATATCTGGGATTTGGTAAGGAGGAAGACGATGATGCGTTCTTTGGCTGCTTTGAGATTTGTGAAGGCACATGTTATCTGATCGATGGGGGTCTCCCGAGATGGTACATACAACCAGGTCGTACAAGAATTTCTTCCATTGTCAAAGCAAGCATGGAACAAAGGGTCGGGTGCAGGGGAAGGTGGGGGATGGAGGAGACGGACGGCTCGGTTTATATGGGGGAGAGTTGGCCGCAAGTTGGATGAGGGGTGGGTGCCCCGGATCTGTGACATGTGAAGCGTTCGATCTGTTTTTCATGGACGGACCGGATATGCTTCGGTTTGGATCCCTGGCCTGGCAAAAATGTAAGCGGGAAGCCGTGAACCAGTCGCGGTTGTTTTGGCAATCATATAAATAAAAGAAAGATAAAAAATGTGACTCCTCCTTGGTGTGATATCTTTTTCGCGAGAAAACTTCGATCTATTCATCGTCAAGGAAAGATAGAAAATTTTACTCCTCCTTGGTATTGTCCATTGTTGTCAATTGCTGGTACTACTTGTTGTCAATTGGTGATGCCCCTGGCTATGATTTGGTACTGCTCTATACTCTTATGGTAATTTTTATACCTCTGCCAGGCACTCTTGCTGTCAATTGAAAACTTGCTATGTAAATGTCGGTTACAAAGGTGAAAGCTCAGTGGGATCGAGAGGCCGCCAATTTTTGTGTGTGCAGCTGATCAAGTAGCTAGAGGCAGGAGTCAGGACATATGCCAACCACACACTTGACACCTGTAGGCTATAATGGATTAATGAAAGAGCTCAATGCAAAACTAATAGAAACTATGAAAAAAGCAGTTCAAAAATTGTTGGGATGATATGAAGGCTATATATTGTGCACGGGTGCTCTACAAAAACAAGGCGATAAGATTCAGTTGGGGTGATGTGACTCAACCCGTCACATCTCATGATGCTCAATGGGATGTTATGATCAAGGTTGGTTGCTTTGGAATGCAGAAATTAGATATAGTAATGCCATGTTTTCTTATGTCTCTGTCTATACTAATTTTATCCTATGTGCAGGTTCACTAGGCTATTAGAGCTTTCCGGATAACGTGAAACAACTTTTCAACTTTTGATGGTGTACTGCAGGAGAAGGAACTACTACCATGGACACAACTCAGAACATTATTGCCGTGTGATGGTTGCAAGAGAGTAGGATTGTCATATAGCTAATGCAGTCATGACCTTTTATTTGATAACCAACAATTTGTTGTGACGTATAATCAGTACTCTATGTTTGATCCATTGAAATGTGATACATAACTAGTACTCCATGTGATGGCGCAGAATGACATTCCACAAAAAAAAACTCTTAATCAAGTCATATACAGTCATAACAGTAGAATCAACACTTGAACCCAAGTTACACCATAACTGAGGGCATTTCAGTCATTTCAACATGTTACTGCACCAGTTGCAACTGTTACATCAAAACTACGGAACGACTGCATCTCAGCTCCAACCTTTGAGCCGCAGCTATCAGCTACAGTCGTTCCTTCCAGCCGGAGCAGTTGTAGCTGTGAAATTTGCAGCTGAAACAAAAGGGAACCTTAGCGGTTTACTCCTCTGCGCGGGGTAAGATTTTTGGGGAACAGAGAAGATGCTTCTGTGTATGCGTTGTGAGTTTTTTTTTGTTGAACTGTGGAGAACCGATCAATAGCGGCTAATGAGGTGACGAATCTTGTGCTCGCGTCGGTCTGCTAGCGGCTAGCAAAACCTACCAATCTGGTGCTAGACCGGTCGAAACCAAAGCTGGCCAACGGGCCGGCGCGCCCCACCCTTAAACGGGTCTGGCACGACATGCCACGTCGAGGCCCGTATATAAGCGGGTCGTACCGAGACCGCACACGTGCCTCACCTCGAGGCCCAGGTACGACGCATGAGCTAAACGGGTCGGCCCGACCTGGCGTATGTGCCACCGGCCCGCATGCTTTTGAGCCATTTTGGGCTGTTTTTTAGGCCTTTGGGCTGCTTGTCCCCTGTGTGCCGTGGGCCAGGCACGGCCCATTTAGCCGTGCGCACGTCAGGGGCTGGGCATGCGTTCTAACAAACTGGCCCGTGAGATTCAGCCCATATGGCCCGCTATAGTCGAACCCACCAACCAAGTAGCAGAGGCCGTGTGTGGCTGTCTCTGTCTCGCTCGACCCCTAGCTCCTCTTCCCCCATTCCGTCCCAACCCCACCCAAACCCCACGCCACGAGCTAGCGCGCCATGGCGCCGCCGCGGATGAACCTGGTCGACGACGACGTCCTCGCGGAGATCCTCCTCCGCCTCCCGCCGGACGAGCCCGAGCACCTCTTCCGCGCCGCCCTCGTCTGCAAGCCCTGGCTCCGCGTCATCTGCCTCCCCGCCTTCCGCACCCAGTACCGCGCCTTCCACGGAGCCCCTCCGCTGCTCGGCCTCCTCTACCGGAACCAGGTCTGCGACGGGGATCCGACCCCGCGCTTCGCCTCCACCACCTCGATGCCCGACTTCCCCCACCCGGCCTCCGACCGCTGCCCCGCGCGCCCCCTCGACTGCCGCCACGGCCGCGTCCTCCTCCACATGTCCCACGATTCGGATGTGGATCTCCTCGTCTGGGACCCCGTCACCGGAGACCGCCGCGTCGTGCCCGAGCCGGACATCGACTGGATGGTCTACACCGCCGCCGTGCTCTGCGCCACCGCCGGCTGCGACCACCTCGACTGCCACGGCGGCCCCTTCCGCGTGGTCTTCCTGGCCACCGATGACCGCGAGGAGGTCGTCCAGGCAACCGTGTACTCGTCGGCGACAGCTGCGTGGAGTCCGCCGGTGTCTCTTGACGATAGCTGTGAATGCTATGCCCGACACAAGCGAGACGCAACTGCAGAAATGATGTTCTTCTCCTCCTACATACCCTATGTCCAGCCCAGGTGAGTGGCCGCCATTGGGGATGCGGTCTACTTCACAATTTCGCGGTCCGCTGCCATTGCCAAGTATGATTGGGGCGAGAATCGCCTGTCTGTGATTGACCCACCACCACCAGATACATAAGTGTACGGTGGTTTCGTCTCCCTCATGGACATGGAGGACAGTTCACTGGGGCTCGCTGGTGTCGACGATTCCACTTCCAGTCTGCATCTCTGGTCAAGGACGGTGAAGGGAGCTGCAAAATGGGTACAAAGCATGGTCATTGACCTGGAGAAAGCCATGCCCATGGCCAATCCCCGCGAAGGTGATGGGGCATATGTGGTTGGTTTCACAGAGGGTGTCGGTGTCATCTTCGTTAGAACAGATGCTGGCTTATTCACGCTCGAGCTCAAGTCCGGGCTGGTGAAGAAGGTTGATGAATTTGGGGTCTACTTTTCCGTTTTACCCTACATGAGCTTCTACACTCCTGGTACGGTACCACCCGTTGATTCTGTTGCCCTTTATTTTACAGCTTCCATATGTTTGCTTACATAGTTGGTTCTCGGTTGTGAACAGTCAGTCATATTGCAAAGTAATGTTCTTTGTTTGTTAGTTTGTATTCCTGTAAATACCTTGCCAAATTAAAACTTGTGTATGCTAGAAAAAACGTAACATGTGACATTGGAAAATAGAACATGATTTTATTATGAGATTTGACCTGTTAAGGACCATGATGATATCGATACACGTTGGTTGAATTGCCAAATATGCATACAGCCTTGTCAATCTAGTATGTTCCTGTTACCTTGCTTCAGACTTTCTAATTTGTTGGAAAAAACATTCTTTTGGCATAGCTAAAGCTCACATCTTAAGCTCAGTCTTACCAAAGTGGAATACTGAGTAAGACTTAGTTATGAGTTTTCAGCATGGTATCTTTTCGGATCATGGCATTTTGATACCGTCAGCAAATATTACTTGATCTCTTAAGTCTGCTGCTGTTGCTGTTTTCTTTTAGATTTGGCACTACCAAGTCATTTATTTTTCCTTTTAGGAGTTTACATACATATGGTACAGGTCATTATGATCAATTTCACCCTGATCATAATATTTAGAAGTTGTACTTCTGTTTAGCATGTCAGCCATATTTCTGTCAGTAGTACTTTTTAGCTAATGCTCAACTGAGTTACTTGGAACTAGAATCATGTGTAGTCTATCTGTCTGCCATTTCCCTTTCATGAAATTTGTGTATCAGGTTCTGTGTTGGTCTTGTCTTCAGATGGGATGTCAAGTAGCAGCGTCACTGTCAGGACTTTTTGGGGACACAATTGGAGATACAAAATCTGAGACACAATTTGATTTCACAGTAAAATGTTTGTCATTTCTAAGTACATTGAAACTAATAGGTGGAAGTCAGATATTTTACATTGTTAAGGTTATGCTGTCAGCCTGTCATAGAGCAAAAAACTTGTGTGGTCATTTGTGAGATATGGACTCAAGTCATGTTATTCTTGTGCTATTATATGGACCGGTCCATGGGAAGCAGGGGTAATTGCATCATTACCCCTTAAATTTCTACTTATCTCTAGAGCCTTTGATGGACTAGCACGTTTTTGTTTTCGTCTTGAATGCGCAGGAGGGCCACACATCATTGTATTAAAGAAGGAATAAAATGTCCATACAAGGAAAGCTGAAAAAAGGAACGGTAGAGGATGGGAATGGAAGTAAATGGATGCAAAGATGTCGATAAATATTGTATTATTACGTCGCTACTTTCTTCCAGATTTTTCTTAGAATCGTTCTTTTATTTTCTGCACCTGTTGTATTTATGAAATTAGACTGTAAAATGCTAAGTTTAGGTGTTGGTTTTGATTTTCGTGCATGCCGTCTTTTCAGACCGTGGTAGATTGTCATCGCTGGCAAGGCTCACTGATGTCTGACGTGCAACTCAAGAGCAGGACCTGGTGAAATGGACGAATCCATCACTACCTCAATTCTTTTGCGAATCACTCACTAAACTTAATTCTGCTGCTGGCTTCTTGAAGTCTTGGGAGATCCTTCATTTCTTTTTTCTCGAGTAGTTAAAGCATGACTGGTGCAGGTCGTTATGACATGCGAGGGATGCAGGTTTCGTATCCTCTGGTCACAGGTCGACCCAAAATTCATCCATCCAAACCATCTAGCCAGCTCTGATTTCAAAGTAAGAAATGTAGAAGGAAAATGAACCGAGAGGGGTGTCCGAGAGCCACTGAGGTCAATTGTGGATGTTTTAGTTGAATTCGTGCTGATCCTTATATAGGACTAAAGGTTGTACAAGCATCAAAAAAGTCGGGGCATATTTGATATTTCAGTTGCTGTTTGGTTAATGTTTCGCTGAGCTAGGCTACTATGTGGGGTCTGTAATCTGTTGCTGTTCTATCCTGGAAAGTTCTCAGTCTCGGTGTTGGTTTTATACTTTTATGTTTTTCAAATGACGTTAAAACGGGGGCAAAAATAGTTAGCATGCAACCGTCTTGTCACCGTGTCTACGTCGCATTTTGTGTTGTTCACGTGTGCTTCCTGACAGTGAACAACGGCTGCCTCTTTGTATAATAACGCGCTCCACCACTTGCGAGTATGTGTGTGAGAGAACAAATGCGTGCGTGTGTGTGCGCCTCTTCTCTTTGTATAGGAAAAAATCCGAAATAAACCTTGAGCTCGTAGGCGTTTTCATTTTATTCATTTTCTGTCGTTTTTCCTTCATGTTTTCTTTATATCCATTGGTTTTCTTCGGTTTTTTCCCTTTGCTATATTTTGTTTTTTAAATACATTATGTACATTGTCACGCTCTGCCATCGTTATGCTTTCAACATTTTTCAAATATATTATATACATTAGCAGGCACATGAAACATTTTTTGATGCACTTTCGACATTTTTCAAATACATTATGCACATTTTTTAAAATACATGTTTACAACGGTTTTAGAATATATAGTACTCCCTCCATTCCAAAATACTTGACCCCCACTTGTCTAGATATGGATGTATCTATACTTGTTTAGTGTCTAAATACATCCATGTCTAGACAAATGGGAGTCAACTAATTTGGAACGAGGGAGTAACATTTTGCCAAATACTCCCTCCGTTTCAAAATAGATGACTCAACTTTATACTAACTTTAGTACAAAGTTGGGTCATCTATTTTGGAACGGAGGGAGTACATGTTTAACATTTTTGAAATGACAATAAACATTTTATCAAAATGTACAAACATTTTTTCACATTGTTTAAAAAGGTGCTCCCATTTTTTTTAAATCAAATATTGAAACTTCAAAATTTTGTTCAAGTTTTAAAAGTAGTTCCTATTTTTTTTGAAACATGGTTATGTTTCAAAAGGTGTTCCCATTTCTAAAAGTTGTTCATTTTTTAAGAAGTACTCCCTCTGTAAAGAATTCTAAAAGTGTTTAGATCACCATATTTCTTTACGGAGGGAGTATTCAACATTTTTCACACACATTTGTTCAGGATCCAAAAGTTGCTTCCATTTTTAAATTTTTCAGAGAGTGTTTGCATTTTTAGTTTTGTGCAGGTTTCAAAGTATTTCCCCGTTAAAAAAAACATTATGTTTAAAAAAGTGTTTAGTTTTTCAAAATTGATTTTGTTTTCAAAAGTTGTTCGTTTTCACAAATTGTTTACGTTTTCCATATTTATTTTCCCTTAAAAATGTGTCTTCCTACCGCAAAAAAGTTTCTTCCTAATCTGGACTTTGCGGTGTGGTATTAACGACTTCGGGCCTCTTGTTAAATCGCTAGCAGCCATTTATTCTGTTGGCTTGCGCGACGAGGTCAGCAGCTCCAAGTCGCGTGTTTGACTCCCCGTAGGCTATTTTGTATTTTTACTAGCACATATGCCCATGCGTTGCAACGGGAAAATTTGATGTTTTGTGCAAACATAATGTTCCATAGCACCGGATTCACTACGAAGAACATGTCGCAACACAATATCTGTTTACAAAATGAACATAAAAAATAGGATGCAATTTGCCATGTTCATATTTTCTCTGCCGGACATAATCTCCCATTAATTCTGTTTAAGTATAATCGTTCTATTAATTACCATGATGTCCTCACCAGTTTGTCGAGAATCAAATCCTTCGTTTTTTTAAAGGCAAATCCTTCCTTTTATGATTTAGTAGCCCCACCACATCGAAGCCTACGGATTCGTTCTTTTAATTATCCTACCATTTTACCTCAAAATCCTTCCTTTAATTAGCCCTATCAATTTGAATATATTCTATTTATTAAGCCAACAATTTTTCTTTTAATTATTCCACCGGTTTCCCCATAATCCTTTCTTTAATTAGTCACATCCGTTTAAATATTTTATTTAAGCCCATAATTCTTTCTTTAATTAGCTTGCCCTAAACATGAGGTCTGCTCTTCTTTGTTTTAACCCTCTGTTGGTTGATTCCTGAGGCCACTGAAATATTTACTGATTGGAATCATTGCATTGCTCGTTGGTTGTTACGCTGAAGAGCCGGACAGTAGGTCCTCTGTTCAATTTCCACAATGTTGATTTATTTTGACCCAATTATTTTTCGCAGTCTCTATGGAAGCCCATAGAAGGCCCATCAATGTACACGTACCTGGCCCAGATGGCTTAGTGTGTGTAGAGCGAATCATACGAAAAACATTAGCGTGCGCTCAAATAAAACAAGTAGGACTAGACCGAACCAAGAATATCTATTTCCTTTAATAGTAGGTATAGATATTATACGTCGCGCATTATGATAAATGAAAAAAAAATCTCGCATCGTCACGGGGTGGGCCGCCCCTGTGCAATCAACTTTTGACTATTTTTTGGTATTTTATTACACGTCACATATATTACAAAAAAGAAATAAAAATAGACTGAACAAAAAAGAAAAAAAATAATCCCGCTTGGTGCCTATTGGGCCGGCCCAGTCACGTGCACAATTAGGGATTCAATCCTTCACATCGACAATCCCTGTTCGAAAACGCTCTCAACGTTTAAAATAGACTATGATCGAAGAGTTTGGTGTGCTGATTTCAGAGATTGGAAGTTTAGGATTCGATTTAGCTTTCATCGACAAGTTCAAGATTTATTTTGGATTTTTCCCCTTTGTATATGTACTCTAGAGTATGTGTGTGTGAGAGAGAGACATCGACCTAGAGAAAGATGGTGTGTGCCTGAGTTGACATGATGAAGAGTGTGTGTATGCGAGACATCGGCTTAGAGAGATGTGAGAAATTCAAAAGAGACCTACAACTGACTGCCGGGTGCTATTTGTTACTTGCATTGAATTACTGACGACTTAATCAGGGTGGGGGCAATGTCATTGTAAGAATCTGACATTTCAAAGAAAGCATGTCAAATTCATAAGTAGGTCACAACAATCCTTGGTGAGTTTAAAGTAGTCATCGTGTGCCTCCACTCCCTTCACAACGCGCGAAAACAATGGTTTGCGCAGGCCCGGTCCTGAGATTTCGGAGGCCCAGGGCGAGATAACAAAAAGGGGCCCTAAAGCCGTATAAATATATATGTTTTTTTTCTATT